GACTTCCCTCCTGAGCCATCTCTTCCCTCAGAAAAGGGCTTCTTACATTATATTAAATGGCCCTTATTACGGCAGCCTATTTCAGTGATTATAATGGGTGTATTAATCTCTCAAATGTCCTTTTCCCTGTTTTTTTTTTTTTTTTTTTGCACGAAGTTGGATCCAAAAAGCAATCTGCATTGCAGGACTCAGTCAGTGTGCACATTTAAGTGGTTTCTTACTCTGGAGCACCCCACCCGAGGCGTAGTAGGGCGCAGTTCGTAAGGTGTTATTAGGAAGGGTTTTGCCCGGGCTGTGGCAAGTGAATGCTCCCCCAAACAACCTTTCGTGGCTTATGTCATAGAATTTTACATTATTAAGCAGATTTCTCAATCCAGCGTCCATTTCTCAGCTGAGGGCAGAGTCTCAGAGAGCTATAGCAGCTCGCCCGAGTCCACAAACTCATGGGGCAAGGGTTCAAACCGAGGCGATAAGCCGTGTGCTCTTTCCTGATCTCTATAATTCTTTCTCTGGTTGACTCATGTCCAAAGAAAAAATTAAAAACCTGAACTGTAATAACTTTTCTGATCTTTGCAACCCATGGGGCCCCAATTCTTTAAAAATACCTTCCCAAAGAGGTGAAAGCTGCTTTGGGTTTCAGTTCAAGGTTCCTCCTCTCCTAAGGAAAGGGTGCACTCGGAGTCACCTTCTGCGCTGGCGATGACAAGCCCTGGGCTTGGCCCCACTGCGCTACTTTAACCGAAAGACCGCACAGGTAAACAATCTCTGTGTGTGGGGGGGTGTCTTCATTAGGAATGCCTCCTGAATACTTCACTCAAAAGACGTATCATTTGTTTCTGTAATGACACGGTATTCTCCTGTCACCTGAACTTGTAATCACTTACACTGGTAGATTTTTTAGCCACAACCATGGCTGGCGTATAACCTGGTGAGCCATGGTGTGTTGTTCTTCTGAAGTATCGCTTCATCACACAAGCTAATAGATTGTTTAGGATTTTTGCATCTATAGTCAAAAGCAAGAATAAACTGTAACTTCCTTTTTTGTTAAGTGTACCAGGTTTTGGTAACACAATGATCTAGTCTTTCAAAGTTAAATGCAACTTGATTCTAAAGCCTTAAAAAAAAAAAAAAGAAAAAGAAAAATACTGCCAGAGGCTTTGTCCTGCTGCTAAGAAGATGCCCCACATTCTTGCCACAGCTCTGGGTAACCCTCCCTCCCCTGCCAGGAGCAGGCCTGGAGTGGCCCTGCCCCCACGCCTTGGCATCACCACTCCCTCCCAGGCCCTACACAGCGGAGGTTCCTCTTAGGCCCAGGCAAGTCCTGGGCGGTAAATCACACATCCAGCCCCTGCTGTGTGTGTCTGAGTGCTCAGCCTCAGGTGTAATTCGCCTGGCCAGTGACACGGGTGATCTCTCCCTCTCTCCCAGCTCTCGCATTCTGGTTCTCGGGTGCTGGGATTCTCCAGAGAAACCTATGACAAAAATACGTCCATTCACCTCCTAGTTGCCACGCTGTAACTGCACTGTGCACTGTGCATGTGGTGCTGCTGCTGCAGTCATGCCGCCACGGCTCAGCACGCTGCCGGGGTTCCCACCTTGTAGCTGAGGTCCAGAAAGGGTACGTGAAATGCGTAAGGTCACACGGTCATTGAGCACGTTCAAACCTGGGTCTTCTGACTCATGGATCCCACAACATACATTAAATTCTGGTCAGTCAGATATGGTCAGACAAAATTCTATGTTTTTAGGAGGCTTTGGAAATACGCAGGAGTGTCACAATGACCAGGAGGATCCGGTGGCATTTAGTGACGCCAAGGATAGTAAATCCTGCCATATTCTGCACTAATCTGCACAAGAACCGGTCTACCAATGGCTCTCTTATTGAAAAATCCAAGGTCAGCATTTTAAAGGCAAAACACCCACTACTCATTCCACAAATATTCGCTAAGCATCTGTTACATTCTGGGCACCAAGTTAAATGCTGATCATGGAATTATGTTCCAAACTACTTCCGTGGCTGTCCTCAAGGTGCTTATATTCTAGCCGCACACACTGAGGGTAACGAATTGTAAACTGTGACAAGTACCCTGAGTAGGCTAAGTGATAACGGGAGTGGTGGCTTTACTGGGGGGAGGGGGATCAAGGAGGACCCCCAAGGCAGTGTAAAACATCTTCTGAAACTTTAAGCATGCCGATTGCCTGAGAATCACAGTAACTGCAGAGTCTGATTCAGCAGGTCCAGGGCAGGGCCAGGGCGTCCCATTCCTGATCGGCTTCTGGGAGAGCCCAAGATACCCACCCTTGAGCCATACTCACCCCCAAACAGAAAGAAGTTCGGCTTTTATTCTAAGTGAGACAGTAAAGAAACTATGAAGGGGTTTAAACGAGTGACATGAACCCAGTTACGTTTAAGATCACTCTTGCTTCCTAGACTTGCACCCTAGAGAGGTAGACTTTGGGCCTATGTCTGAGGGGAACCTGCGGCCAAGGCCTCAGGCTTATCTACACAGCTCACACTTGCCTCTCTCCCTCGGCTTCTCAGCCGGAGCTCTCGGCCCAGAGCACAGGTCAGCCTAGTTGCCCTACAAGCTGGGGCGCCTTTGTGAAGCCCTGTGCAGCCTGACAGGGCGTGGACTCACAGCAATGACAGCCTGGTGTGCAGAGCTACAGGAGCCCTACTGGTTGGGTGAGTTCCCCAGAGGGTGCCAGGCAAGATGGCACCAGACATGGAAGCTGCAACACCCTAGGCCAGCGCCCTCCAGAAAGAGGCTCTCTCTGGCTTTAGCGTCAGTGCCCAAAGAGCCCTAGAAGGTTTGAGCTGCCTTCTATCTACCCTACGACGAATGGGGAGAAAAGGAATTCAGTCTAGGGTGGCATCCCCAAGGAAACCTCAGCCTCGTCGTCAAATAGTCCAGATTTCATTTCTCGCTCCTTGCTACCTTCATACTCCCTGGGGCTTCTTCCAGAGCCCTACAGAAGAAAGAGACATGGGCTTGACTCTCAGCTCCACTATTGTTACCATGTGGCCTTGGGAAGGTTAGCCAGCCTTGCCAAGGCTAAGGCTTTTCTCACCTATAAATTGAGGATAATTACAGCACCCGCCTAGTGGATGTTTGTGAGGATTTAATATAAAGCACTTAGCATTGTTATGGCACATAGTAAATGCCCAGTAAAAGGGGACTATTACTATTCCTTTGGAAAACAGAGGAGAGATTGTTCTTGTCAGCAGCCCTCTTGGGAACAGGTTATCAGACTCCCAGGAGACAGACTAGAATTGTTTATTGGTTTCTATTTGGCTAATATTTGAACTAGAACTAGAGCTCTTACATGTTTCGCTTTGGAATCACAAACCACAGCACTTGGGTCCTGGCAAGTTTTAGAAATTATTTGTGGCACTAAACTAAATTATACAGCTGGTAGAAGGCATGAAAGTTATATGCAAGGGATTCTGGGTCTTAGTGGGCAAAAAGTAGTGTAGGGATGGTCTGGTTGGAGTACAGGCAAGAGGAAGATAACAGAGAAATGCCATAGGGTAGCTCTGGGGCCCTACAGAAACAAAACAGAGACTACACTTGCCGCCCACAGCTGGAAGCAGTTCAGTCCGGGCCTTGCTCCCGGCTTTAATGCAGTATTCTACTTTGTCCCAAATCACCTTCATTTGTGTGTCTCACTAGTAGCAAAAAAAATAGAATAATATATTTCAAAGAGTAAATAATCCAACTCCCCTTTTTTGGCTTAAGTTTGAATTTCCCAATCTCCCTTTCCCATAGGACAGTGTGTTTATCTTTCTAACTTTGCGGTGTTTAAATTTCTTCACAGACACAGGAGCTGCATGTTAAAGGTATGTGGCCAAGGGCAAGCTGAATGGGAGAGAGGGCTTGATTGTGATGCTAGTATAGACCATCCTCCAAGTGCAAAAGGCCCCAATCTGTAAAGAACCAAGAGCGGACATGTTTATTTACAAGACTGATTGCGTGGTTCTCGGTTTCCTAAGCTTGGACAGTTTGTTTAGAAGTCAGGTCCGTAGAAATTACAAGGATGGACACGAAAACACAAAGCATTTTAAAAACTGGATTTGGGGGCAGTGGGCAGCAATGGAAGGAGCCACTCCCTTTGGAAGCCTAGGCTAAGATTTGATTCTCTCTGAAACGATGGCTAGTACCGAAGACACAAACCCAAATCAAACACCGTCCCACACTCTTGGGGTTCACTTTAAGACAACTGAATTCCCAAAACCTGGCATTGGAAAAGAGGACATACATGTGAGGCAGGGACTACACTGCCAGGCCGTTGTTTTAGAAGAATTATTGGCCCATACTTTTTTTAAAAAAGAAGTTCTGTTAGAAAGAAACAAAAGAAAAGAAAGAAAAGAGGTATGGTGGCACATGCCTGTAATCCCAGCACTTGAGAGGCTGAGGCAGGAAGACTGCCATGAGTTCAAGGCCAGACTTGGCTACATAGCAAGACCGTGTCTCAAAAAGAAAAGGATCTGTCCCCATGTATTTTCCAGAGATTTATTGCTTAAAGAGAGGGTCGCCTGAACTTTCAAAATGATTCCCAAGTAAGGGGCCCAGCACAGCACTGTGAGAAGAAGTGGAAGCAAAGGAGTCTCGAGCTCTGGATAAGAGTAGCAAGTGCCCATTACTGTGTTTTGGGCCAGAGAGATCACAGCCAGATGTTGACAGATTTAACACCTCTAGCCAGGCCACCCTGGGACAATGATATCAGAGACAAGTGCTTCCCGTAAGTTTGGCAGAAGAGCCAGAGAGCAGGTGTCTGACCCGAGGGAACCGAAGTCACCCCACCCCTACTCCTGCCTGTGTGAGGCCAGAGCCCTTCCCTCCACACACACCCTCAGGAGGAGGTCCCCAGGAAGACGTTCTTTCCTCCTCCTCAGTGAAGGCTTGGGGCAGCCATTCACCACTGTTACCACCACCCATATGTAAAAGAAAATATTTTTTCTTCAGTATGAGAAATTCAAATTAGCTTCGTTTTGAAAGATGATTGAGAATGTTGCAATGACCTTTGCAATAACCGGCCACACCCTGGGATCAGCACACCAGGCTTGAGAACTGCTGACTTTATGAGCACCTGACCTGTAAAACGAAAGCCATTTGGGTCTCTGTCCGTGGCCCGTTCTCCCATCAGGCACAGGGAGCTCAGAGAAGAAAGACCCGGTTGTGCCTCTGCTGTGTCACCTTGGGCAAGTCACTGTCCCTCTCCGGACCTCTGCCTCCCCGTCTGGAGAGTCGGTGGGGGATGCTGCATGCCCCGGGGCGCCTTCTGGTCCTGATGCTGTTTTGCCACTTATGTTGTTTGGACACAACACCCAACATGGAGAGGGAGAAAGAATGGGGAAGAGAAAGGCACAGAAATGGTACCATAAGGCTCCCTGCACCCTGGCCTGCTGGAAGCTGTTTACTTCACTCTGCGTGATTCCCGCTTCTTGCTGGGTTGTTCCTTTTTTACTTCTTTTTCTTTCTCTCCAAAGCCACAAAACCACAAGTCACCTCCCCAGACCCAGTTATTTGGAAGCCAGAGCTGTTGGGGTTTAGGTGTGTCAAGCCTGACACACTAGTGGTATCTAAGTGAACACCAGGCCAAGCCAAGCATGTGCTTCTCCTCCAGAAACCCAGTTTAAATCAATATTTATCCAACTGTATTTATAGAAAGTAATGGTGGTGGGGAGGAGGGGGTGGGGTAGGGAAGCAGGGGGGTATCTAAAACAGAACAAGCCACAATGACGGATGCAAATCTTTGTGGCCAATTCACTTCTGCAGGGACGGCTTAAAAAAAAAAAAAAAAAAAAAAAAAAAAGCAAAGGACCCGGCTTTTGATGAACCTGCTGTTGGCCTCACTGCCATAGCAACAGCCCCAAGTCCTCTAATATGCCCAGAGGACAGACTTGGGAAAGGCAGTAGGAGGGGGGTGGTGTTTCCTAGGAGCCCTAAACTTGAGTTAGGGCCAGGAGTGTTGAACAACTCTGAAAAACAAAAAACCCCTTCTGGTTGCCTATTCTGTCTCCAGCCTCACTGCCCAGCCTCTTCTAAGCAAGGTGTGTGCAGGAAAGCCTTTGGACAGTCAGCAGGGCGTTCCAAGTCCCAGCTCTGCGGCACGTTGCTGGGTGACCTCGACCAAGTCATTTCACCTGTCTGGACTTCATTCCTTGGTTGTAAAATGCGTCCACGTGTGTATGGCTCAGACCACAGGCTCTGGAATTAGAGGCCTAGACTGCACACTCAGCTCTGCCACTAATTCGCCATGTGATCTTTGGGAAAGCTACCCAGAATCCCTGCTCCTTGGTTCCCTTCTCTGTAAGATGAGGGTAATAAAACTGCATGTGTCATAGAGTTGTTGTGAAGATTGGGAGAGATAACACGTGTTTATCTTCACGCCTAGTATAGAGTCAGTGCTTAGTAAGTGGTCGCCTGTGCTAATATTATGAATGCCATTAATGGCTGCTGTTGCATTCTGGTGCTGTCTTCATTTCCCTCCATTTCACCAAATGCAAATCCCGTTTCTGGGTGTGCTTGTGGGAGAGTGTTTGGATTACAGACAGACGGTATCAGGGAAGATGCTGCTTTGCCTTGGTAACTGAAAGAGCTTCCTTTTCCTCCCCAAGTAGGAACAATGCAACACAGCTTCTCTAACTTCCTAAGGCCCTGTCCCTGTTCCCTGGAACCCCTCAACAAGGCACCTAATCCCTGGGGGCTCAGGGATGCCAAAAGCCACTTGAGACTCTCAAAAGCCTACCACTAGCATTTGCCAGGGGGCAGAGATCGTATTTAAACCTGGGGCGAAAAGTTGAATCTGGAGAAGATAATTTAAGATGCAGAAAGGAGACCTGATTTAACCACGCTCTTCACACTACTCTTCTAAGCACAAGCCCACCTCCTTCATCCCTGCCTTAAATCCAACCCTACTTTGCAGAAAAAAAAGCACCAGCACCTACTAGATGCCGAGGAGCCGTTTGCGGAATGAGCAGATTCACTGCAGGTGCCTCCCCTGCAGAACCGGGAACCACATCAGCACTAGTTGCCATCAGAGCCTTCGGTTCTAATGTAAGTCACCCTAGACCCTGTCAAAGCCAGTAACTTGCTCATTCTCAGAATCACAGCTGCTGAGTTTTGGTCTCCAGCCCTAACCCATCATTTCCTTGCAGGCCTGGTCTTACCTCCCAAAGGCCTTCGAAGATCTGTATTTCCAGTCTTTCTCCAAGTCTTCAGAAAGACTGTCATGTGCCCTGACCTCCAAATCTGGTCACCAGGAAGTGATAAATCTGACCAATCAAGCAATTTCTCTCCAGTGTCTACTGTATGACCAGTGGTATGCCATATGTCACAGGTGACCCGTAGTGAAATACTCTAAACCATCTTTTCTGCTAAGATGCTAATACTCTCCCTGCAAGGATAAAACTAATGCACAGGAAGCAAGTAGAGAATCTCACAGTACTGGTCATCAAAAGCTCAGAACAGTTACCATTTATTGAGCACCTGTTAGATTTCAGGCACTTTAAATGTTGAAGAGCGGTGCTTACCTTAGCTGTTCAGAATTTATGTGAGGGTGGTGTTATCCTCACGCCCATTTTACAGAACAGAACCTCAGAGAGGCTAAGTAACTTATGCGCAAGGTCAGGTAGCCAGTAAGCAGTAGAGTAGAATTTGGGCCCCTGCTCTATGTGGCTGCAAAACTTTCATTCTCTCACTATTCTGAACCTAGACATAGAGCCAGGCGGGATGACACAGCTGGGGAGGCTTCATGGAGGAGGCAGGAACTGCCCGAGGTCTTGAAAGGAGTGTAGGATACAGAAACCTCTAAGAGAGTGAGGGCACTCTAGACAAGTCTGAGGCCAACACAGAGGCATGACTGTGAGGCCGTGCTTGCTGGTAGACCTGCTGGACAGGAGAGGTTTCATGGTCAGGAGATTAAGTCAGGAAGGCTGGGTGGGGCCAAGTGACAACACACAGCAGCTTCCTCCACCAGCAGGAAGGGGCTGCTGCTGCTCTGCCTCTGTTCTGGGAGAACACCCAGGTATTCCACTAGAGAGCAACCCACAGCTCCACTCGTCACCCTTCCCTCTCTGAAATACCGAATCCCTCATTCTCAGACACCCGGAAGCCGTCCCTGTCCTCCAGACCTCACCTGCCAGCCCGCTTTTACCCATATAGCACCCCTCTGTGAATCTCTTCTTTTAGTTTTAACCTTTTCCAAAGGGGGGAGGAACTAGTTTTTCCCTAATTAGTTAATTGCCACGGGATTCCACACTGCCGCAGATTGTTTACTTATTTCCCAGTTTGTGATAACAGGGCTACAGCCTTCATGATGAATGCTTCTGGAGGGCCTCCGACTTGACCTCTGCAGGGATTCAGATCAGTGTACCTGCATTTCTTAGGGAATTCCTTGACTTGTACACTAGGTCGACGCTGGGTGATTTAATTTGAACCTTTTCCGCCCAAGAAAACTCACCCTATCTACTAGAAATAATTCAGCTCTGAGGCCACAACTTGCTGAACAGTCCCAGTACAGCAACCTCACCAAGCAATGAAAAGCAGTTCTAGCTACAATGGAAAATAAAGCAAGCTCCTGCCAAGCACTTCGCAAACAGTTAAAATGGAACGTGGAACTCGTGACCAGTGGCTATCGGCGCATATCGGAAAGGTCCCTAAGAACCCGAAATGGAGACTCGAGGACCGACCCTCGTCTTGGGAAATAAGAGGGTCCCTTTAAGAGGAGACTGGACCAGCTGGCTGCACTACAGCTCCCAGAGATTTCCTGGGTCGCATCCTGGCCCCGCCCCCAGCCTCCGGCCTCAGCAACGTGTGACGTCACAAGATACCGAAGCTGCCGATTGGCTGAATAATACAGCTAGGTCAAGTCCAGTCGGAGGAAAGAAGTTTGTCTCCATGTGGAAACCATGTGTCTCGAGCTGGGAGGGGGGAGGAGGAGGAGGAGGCGGAGAAACTGAGATCAAGTGATTACAGACAGGGGAACTAGCTGAAATGAAGGCGAGGAGGTTGTGCACCTGAGCCGGCTAGCAATGCCCTTTGCAGTAGTGACCTAAAAAGGGGCGGGGGGGAACCCAACGAATTGCACAACACACAAAGCCAAAGCGCCCCCCTACCCTGACATCATAATTTAGAAGGTACGGTCCTTGTTTCCTTCCAAAAACCAGGGGCCTGGGAAATGCTGGAATCCTATCGGAACGCCCAGATCTGTCTCCCTCCCCCAACAACTGAATGATGTAAGCGTTTCGGAAAGCCGAGCTCTGAAGCAAAACAAGCCCCGCGCACGCGGAGCGACCCGCAGTGCCCGAGCCCGGCGCACGCACGACCCGCCCCCCGACTCGCGTTATTGCTGTGCACACGCGGACCGCCGTGACGCGCAGGCATTGTGTGCAGCGAGCAGAAAACAACGGCGAGCGAAGCCAGCGCGAGGAAGCGCCCGCAGTAAAACAAGACAGATGTAGGGCCCGCCGTTTTCCTTTTGGGGACACCCAGGCCAGGGGAGGAAGGAGAGGGGGGATACACTGTCCCCCTCGGCCCGCTCTGGTTTGCAGGGAGGATAATAGAAAGTCCGGCGGGTGGTCGCATAGAGTTTGCAGGAGGTCACCCACGCCTGCGAAAGCTGTTGGGGAGGGGACAACCGCCTGGAGCTGGGTGCCTGCAGCCAAGCCAGCGAGGGGTGCAGCGCCCCATGCTCTCGGGGAAATCTGGGGGCCGCTGGCATCACGTCATTTAGAGCCATACAGCGGCGACGAAGAAGCGAGAGAGCTAAAAATACTCCTGCGGAGCCGGCCGGAGGAGGGGGGCTGCGGGGCCGAGGGGCTGATTACCCACATGAAGTTGACTTTGGGGCTCTAGGGCTCCCCGAGCCCCTCTCGGGGTCTGGCGGATTTGCAGCGCAGATGGCCCGGGAGCCGGGCTGAGAGGAAAACCCTCGGCTGCCCCGGCCGCGGGAGCCCCGCTCTGCCTCCACCGGCCCGCCCCGAACGGGGCACCTGGCCCGGCGCGTCCGGCTCTGCTTACGTGACTGGTGGCCACGCCGGAGCCCCGGCACGGGGTAAACAAGGAGGTGGCGGCTGCCAGGGCGGGGTGTGGGGGGTGAGGTCGCCGATTGTCTGTAGGTGCAAAAGCGCAGGGGGGGGGGCCTCCGGGAGCGCAAACCAGGCTCACCACACACTGCCAAGGTGCCCTCTTTGGGAGCACCCCCAGTTAGAGCCAGCGCCACGGGACTGATTCCAGAGAACGGGGACCCGGGAGGGGGCAGCTGAGAAAATCGCGCCCCTCCCCCTGCAACAAAAGCAAACGCACCAAACAAACCACGTCTTCACCCACCTCTCCCCCAGCCCTGGCTTTTCAGAAACTATTCTCCAGACAAATGCATACACCACCACTGCCCCCCTCCCGTGAATAATCGCATAGCGACGAGGCTGCACGGACTGCGATGCGCCCCTCTCACAACAGACACTCCGAAAAAAACGGAGGAGAGAAAGAAAAGAACGTGCCACCGACCCCCCAAGGCAAATCCTTGGTTTGGTCTCACTACGTCCCCGCAATCGTGCTGCCAACACACGCGGTTACTTGAACCCTGCAGGCCAGGGGTGTCGGTTAGCAGAGGTGTTTTTGTGTTTGCGGGTTGTTGGTGTATGGGGGGGAGGTTTGCGAGATCTGACACGTTGCAATGGGACCTCTCTGTGTCTCTCCTCTCCTTCCTCGCTTCCTCTCGTTTGTCTTCCTACTTGTTCGGACCGATTAAACATCCAGTGTGACCCTGTCTGTCGGTCTGTCTGCTTGGGCCCCTGCTTCCTTCTCACAGCTATTATTCCGAGCACTGTGCTGGAGACGCCGCACGCGCGTGCCCCCCCACCCCCGGGCGCGGAGTCGACCGCCTGGGAAGGGCTAGGAGACCCGGCTGGCGGGGACTGAAATGAAACAAACAAATACAAAAAGGAAGCCAGGCCAGGGTGGGGTTGCCAGCTCCCCCCCACCCCCGGCCCGGCGTTCCTTGTGCACCGCTCTCTACCTGAATGGAGGGGGGTGTTTTAAAATCGACCCAGGAAGCGTTTGCTGCGCGGCCCCGCGCCCTCGCTCGGGAGCCGGTTACCGGAAAATAACCCGCACACAACAGCCCACACCTTCTTCCCCAACTATTGTTTCTGCGAGGTCCCAAAGTTTCCTCCCAGCCGCGTCCCCCTTGCCAAGTTTGCCCGGCGCGGGGCTGCGGGTCCAGGGCGAGCTGCTGCCGCTGCCTGGCCCGTCGGCCTGTTGGTTTGGGGGCCGGGGGCGGTGGCACCCCGGGGAAGTAGGGGCGCCGGGGATCGTGTGGGCGCACGCGATGGTTGGAGCCCGGTCCTGCTGCTCGCAAAAGAGAGAAAGCGAGGCAGACGGGGAGGCGAGACGGAGCCGAGCCCACGCCGCCCAGAGCTGCTCGGTGGCGGCGGTTGTTATTGTTGTAGTGTGTGTGTGTGTGTGTGTGTGTGTGTTTTCTTTCCGAAACCTCTGAGCTCTGCCTACCGTCCCAACTTTCGGCTTCTGATCTCCACCCCACCCCGGAACGAGCGACAGAAAAACACTTGTCTATCGGAGAAGGCTCCGGGAATTTAAAAAATTAAAAAATTTCAAAAGGAAGAAAGGCGACCTCGCAGCGTGGTGCTCTCGCTCGGCTCAGTTGTCAGCAAACAGCACCAGTCCCGGCTCCCCGGCCGGGCGCTCCCCCGCCGGCCCGGAGGGACAGACGGACGCGCCGACAGCCCCCTCTCCCCGCGCCCGTCTTTGTTACATCTTTAGCAGCTTTGTGCGTGCGTGCGTGTCCTTTCTCCGGTGTCATCGGCTTTACCGCCGAGGGGGGATGTGTGTGTCGCGGGGGCGACGGGGGTCGCCCCAGTGGGCTAGAAAGAAAGCAGGGCGCCAGAGAGGAGCCGGGCCCCCAAACTTACTTTTGTTTTCCTTCTCGATCTGCTCCAGGTAGCTGGCTGCCTCGAGCAGAATCTGCACGTTCTGCAGAAAAGTGTTGATGTGCTTCTCCATCGAGTTCTCGCTGGTGTTGAAAATGTCCGAGAAGGGGCACCTGGGCTTGGCCCCCGCCGACTCCTCGGGCTGGGCCGGGGGCTGGGGCGCGGCCGGGGGCGCAGAGGGGACCAGCCCCGCGCCCTCGCCGCGCGCCTCCTTGCGCGGCCGCCCGCGTTTGCCCATGGAGGAGCCGGGGTCCGCCGAGCTCGTCCTCGCTGGGGCTGCGCGGCCCGGCCGTGCTCCGGGCCCCTCGGGAGACCCGGCCTGCTGTGGCGGAGGAGGTGCCGGGGCGAGGAGCCGGCCTGACTTCCCGAGCCTCGCTGCGTGCTGTTGTGTGCAAGTGCGAGTGCGTGCGTGTGCTCGTGTGTGTGTGTGTGTGTGTGTGTGTGTGTGTGTGTGTCTCGCTGTGGGTCTGTGTGTAGGGAGATTGAATGAACCTACAGGACAGACGGAGGCGCTCTGGCGCCTGGGTCCTAGTGCGAGCCTGTCGCCATCCGACCGGTCAAAATAAAAGGTGGAGACTCGAACGGCTGGGACCGCCCCCGGCCGCGTCCCCACACCCTTCCCGACTCTCCCCAAATCTGAGCACCGGTACCGCACTCTTTTAACCGGAAAGGAAAAAAACAACACTCGTCTTTGGGTGCACCTGCATAAAACAGTTTTTTTTTTTCTTTACATAAAAATAATACTTCGAAAAACGACTAAAACAATGCCTGGCACGTAGTGGGTCCGGGATAAATGGTGACTGGTACCACTTTTTTTTTTTTTTTTTTTTTTAAAAAGCCAGTTCAGATGGGGAGAAATGAACCATCACACTTAACTC